CAAGCCTCAAAAGTACAGAAGCCAAGAAGTTGGAGACAACCTGCAAGAGTGATGCCGCCCCCTTTCACCTTTGAAGGAGTGACCAAGAACTGCCACAGGTAATAAGCACTTAGACATAAGCCACCATGAGAGGGTCAAACAAAACAAACAAGTGTATTTCTGGACATACATTTGTCAATATGGGAAGCAGAAGGGAGGCAGAAGAAATAACGAAAATAATTTGCATGTAGCTCTCTACTCTAGTTGAGTTGCGGGCCAATAAACGAGATGCAATAGAGCTTCCCAACATTGAAGCCAACATGAAAGTTGCAAAAATAAAACCATGAGGAATCTCTTCATCATTTGGACTCAGTGCGGGTGTCCAGAGAAATACAAATGTGTACATTGAACCTTCAAATAGAGACTGAATTGCACCCAGCAAAGCAATCTTCTCATCTGTCAAACATAAATCGTTCTACTAAGCTCCATGAAATTGGAAAATATCAGTAGAGAAAAGTAATTATTGAACAAAACGAACCGGGTAGCAGAAAAAAATTTGAACATTTATTAAGCCGGACCCACCACTTACAAGTAATTAGACTGGAAAATTGCACCCTATTATTGGTTTGTCTTTTCTTGTATTACTTGAGGCAATTGATGTCTAGACGGGGTCCCAAAAGGATCAAAACTGTGACATATGACTCGAATTTCACTGTAATGACTCCACAAAAGCTCTTTAAATATAGCCCCAGTTTGACCCCCATTTCTTAAAACTCATTTTTATCTCCAAACTCATTTTCAGCCACACATTTCATCAACTTTCATCAAAATTTACTAAAATTCCAAACAAAACAAGGGCTTAAAGTAAATAATAAAGCATAGCGTGATATCTAGAAATCTACCTGAAGCAATTGCTACAGCAGCACCCTTGAACTGAGTAAGCAAGTCCTTGCTCTCCGAAGAGTCCCCGTAGTTCTCAGTCCATGATGATAATATAACAGCCATTCCAATAGCTAGAAAGACAGCGGCAGCATCAAAGGGTGACACAGGCCCAAGACTTAAGGTATCAACTAGTAGATTTCCAAACAACCCAGCGAGAATAGCAACAAGACCATTGCCAAGGAATATTGCCTTAGAGAAAGTTAATGAGAGCCACTGCTGATCGAAACCCCTCTGGAGAAAATATATATTGAAATAAATTGCAATCATAATCATTAGAATCAAGTAGTTTCCATAGTCAATGAGTAATTCCATGAACTTCGCTAATATAAAAGAACACGCTTTCACTCAATGAACTAAGCCCTTGATTTGTGGGGATTAAAATCAGATTTTTAGTAGATTTTAATAAAGGGTAATAAAATACGTGGTTGAAAAGTTGTGGGCCCTATGAAATATGTGGTTAAAATTAATTGTTGACTTAGAATTACCCCTGTTTGGAGGCAATTATTTAAGAAAAACAACGTTTTTAATAGTGAATTTTTTGAGAATGTGTGGTTAAAAAGTAAGAAAAAGTTTCGGGTTTACGTACAGAATATTTTATTGTGTGAATGTGTGGTTGAAAATGAGTAAGTAGAAAAAAGAGTTTTAAGAAAAAGGATATCAAACAAGGGCTAAGTATTACATCTTGACACTGTCAAGAGTCAGTAAAGGGCAAATATTTTGCAATCATTTGGATATAAAAAGAGGTCTTCTTGAATAAAACAAAATCCACACGCCCCAACACACCCATCTTACGTACAATCAATTTGTGATTTGAGTTCACGAGTCACATGCACAAAGATCAAGAGTATACAAATTCCATACTGAACCATCTTTCAGCAAGTTTATTATAAAATTAGATTTGACTTTGTGGGGTTGCATAATTCACAGCTACTGAATCACATATATGTAGTAACAAAACAGTTGGACTGCACAAGCTAACTGTCACCATTATGTCCAAGATCCCTCACCTTGAAGTGTTCTGCCACGAGCCATGATTCAAATGCTGAAAACAGGAGAGACGTGGCAATACCACCCAAAATACGTCCTACCATCAGAACTTTATACTGAGGAGAATGCTTGGTGATGCAGCTCAGTATATACGTGATGCAGTAAGTCACAGATGCTCTCTTCCGTCCCCTGAAATTTCATTATATAACTCAAACGGAATTCACATACAACTATAAAATTTAATTCACATAATTTCAAGAGGATATCTCACTGTTTATCTGCTAGAGATCCAACAATGGTTCCAAACAGCATGGAAGATCCAAATCCTGCGATAAAGAGCTGGCCAATTTCCCCCTTCCCAAAGCCATAAGTTGTGTAAAGGTAGTAAACATAAGGGCCCTGCAACCAGTCACCAGCTATAGCCACAAAGACCAATCATCAGCAAGAACAAAGACTATTATTTTCAATTATTTCTTAAAACCCAAACAATTTGCTAAAGCCATCACTGAAAGCCAAGTATAAACATAATAAAGAGCTATGTGACAATAAGATTTCATATTAGTAGATGTCAAATGCAGCTGATACCATAGGAAAAATAATATATGAACATACATTGCATCAACTTAAAATTGATCTCCCTTGGATCCTAGATGTAAGTGGGGTAAAAGAAAAACAGAAAGCATGAAAGATGGAAAACTAAGCCGACATTCTCTCTGCTTAAGAAAAAAATTAATAGCAATTTGCAAAATATTTCAAATATAGCATAGAATCAAGAGGAACATACTGCAGATATTATTTTTATAAGGTTAATAAGACAAATAGCTGAATTAACCTGTAGTGAGAGATGATGCATGGAATAGTTTAAATAACTAGTGACTGAAGAAAGAAGTCCTATGCGCAAAACTCAACCTATTTTGAAATAGGGACTATTGACAGCTCTGTCAAAAATGCATAATAAGACTGGATCTAAATGAAGAACAATATAGGCCTCTCACATCACAATTGCATGTGAAACTTAGTTTCAATCAGCAGAGTGCATTCCATATACGAAAATTCAACTTCAAATTAAACAAAAAAACAAAATATTAAAATGTTGAGGCTTTTCCTAGTCCCTGAACACCAAATCGAATGTCCACGAATTCAATCATTTTCTTCCTACTACGTTACCTCAGGTATAGAAAAACAAAAACCAGATGAGATCTAGATCCCAAAAATAAAAAAAAGGTAAAAAAATATGAACAACTGCAAAGCATACGCTCAATGCATCAAATCCATAATCCTTCACTCATTCAGAAGATCAGATAACATATCATGGATACTAAATCGCGAAAAACTGAATAAAGCGAAAATCCCAATTCCTTGAAAATCATTGCATGCAAAAGATGTATGCAAATATGAAATAATAAACATGCAAGGCCCAGATCTGGGGTATATAATTACATACCCATCATGAGAGAGTAAACGAGAAGGTAATTATTCTTGAAGGAATTGAAAGCTGCAGAAGTATTAACCCGATCCTTGTTACTTTTACTGAGCTCCAGTGCTGCCACCACTATCCCCAAAGCCCCAAACACCATATAGTAAAATAACTCCATTTTTCTTACAGTTTGATCCCAAATTTTCAAAATCGAACGACAAAAGAGAGTTATAATGTAAGCTCCGACTCTCAGATAATGTGTACAAGAAGATTTCTACGCACTCTTTCCAGTAGATATATAACCAGCAAATTGGAACGCGTTTTGCTTGTGCTGTGACAGGGGGCATATCATTATATTTTGCTCTCGGGGTGTCCAACCTTTCATAGGTATTGCATATATGTTCAAATCTTTCATTTGTTGCATTTATATCCCAATTTTCTATCACTAAGGGTTTGTTTGACCCTTTATTGAAAAAAAAGATTAATTTTTAAAGAATGTGATTCAGATAAGGCTAAGTGACCGTAAATATCTACTTTAAACATTAAGTCCCTATTTAGTTTAGTTAAAAAGTTGACAAAAATCTAATTCAAGGTAAATAATTAATTTTAATAAAATGTTTTATGAAATCTACAATTTTTCATTCATATATTTAATCATTTTTTATCAAAATTTATTAAAAATTTGAGTTTCAACAAAACAAAATAGAGGCTTAATATTCATGTCACATACACGCCAACTAAAATGTAAAATTATTTCTTTTCTATCAAATTATTAGTGTTTCTCATAAAAATAAGATAACTTGAAATTTCGAGACATCGGCTCAAAATAATTTTGCCTTTGTTTAGTACACATTCTTTAAAACTCATTTTTAAATAATTTAGTACATTGGCTCTTTAACTTTTTTCTATTTTTTAATCACAAGTTCTCTCAAAAATCACTTTCATTAAATCTATTATTAGAAAAATTTACATCAAACTCGTCTTTAGTTTCAAAGTTAGACATGAGCTAAAATGAACAATGAAGATCAAGGGCGTGTTCGGTAGAGATTAAAATTGAAAAATTAGTCGTTATTGTTAACTTTTATTAGACGAGTAGGGCCCAATAATGATCATATTTTCAATTAAAATTGAATTTTAATTTTGGGCA